CTATTCCGAAAATGACTCCTGCATTGATTTTTACACATGCGCCTAATATAAGCCCTATTCCCCAAATAAGTCCCAATTAAGAGCCTGCTTGGCTAGCCGCCCGTCCATTCTGTCTGGTTGTTTGTGGTGCTGCCTCCATGAGGTGAGGCAGGTGTGGGAGGGGATGGAGTTGCCCCACATGCTTACCTCAGGGCCCCTGCAGCCAAGCCTCCCACACCCTGACACCTGCCTTGCCTCGCCATGGTGGCACCAATAGCCCTGTCCAGCAGGAGCCTGTATGGCCGGTGGCAGCCCATTTCTTCTGTGGCCGATTGCCGTCACTCGCATGCGTTGCCCCCAGCCTCTGTTTTCTGGCAGAGGCCTTCAGAAAAGGAGCCATTGCAAACAGCTGATAAACTCTTGCAGAAAATTGAGAAATTTGGAGCAGTGGCTGGTCTGAAAATAAATAGGGAAAAGACTAAAGTAATAACAAAAAATCTAACAGACAAACAGAAAACGCAACTTACTAAAATGACAAATCTTCAAATAGTTAAAAAAGTTAAATATTTGGATATTTATTTAACGGAGAAATATACTGCACTAAAAGAAGATAATTATGAGAGATTAATGAAACAAATAAAAATGGACTTGAAAAGATGGGAAAATCTTCAATTATCACTTTTGGGAAGAATAGCGACTGTTAAGATGAACATTTTACCAAACCTAATTTTCTTATTTCAAACATTGCCTGTTAAACTTACTAAGAATTTTTTTGATGATTTAAATGCAATGATTCTAAGATTTATATGACAAAAAAAGAAAGCGAGAATCAAATGTACCGTATTTTCCAGCGTATAAGACAACTCGGCGTATAAGACGACCCCCGACTTCGGAGAAGATTTGCATGGTTAGAAAGTCGTCTTATACGCCGGAAAATACGGTATTTTCCGGCGTATAAGACAACTCGGCGTATAAGACGACCCCCGACTTCGGAGAAGATTTGCATGGTTTAGAAAGTCGTCTTATATGCTAGAAAATACGGTAAATTGTTACAAGAATCTAAGGATAGAGGGGGCTTTGGACTTCCAGATTGGAGACTTTATTATCAAGCAGCTATTCTGCTTTGGCTTAAAGAATGGATTGTATTGAGAAATAAAAGATTGCTTTATTTAGAGGGACATGATCTTCAGCTAGGTTGGCATGCTTTTATATGGTATGAGAAATCTAAAGCACATAAGTACTTTCAAAATCATGTGATAAGAAATGTACTACTTTCAGAATGGGAGAAAATTAAACATAAAATATACATGAAAATACCTGAGTGGCTTTCAACAATGGAAGCATTTGCTTATCCAAATCTGATTAATTATGACAAACTGGTTAGTTATAAAGATATTTTAAACAAAGAGGGAAAACTTAAGGACAGGCAAACTTTACGACTACAAGGTATTGACTTGACATGGTGGTCCTACTTGCAAATTCAAACAAGATACGAAAAAGATATAAAATCGACAGGTTTTTACAAAGAACAGACCCCATTGGATAAAATTTTGTTAAAAACAGATGAGAATTTGATTAGAAAACTCTATAAATTTCTTTTAAACTGGAAGATGGAAGAAGAACAAATGAAAGAAACAGTGATAGTATGGGCAAAGAACTTTGGATATTCTATAGATTTGGAAGATTGGCAAAAACTTTGGGATAAAAATGTTAAGCTTACAAAAGTGGTAGCATATAAAGAAAACTTATATAAGATGTTTTATACATGACATATGACACCAGTTTGCTTAGCGAAAATGTTTAAAAATGTTTTGGATATTTGCTGGAAATGTAAACAACAGCCAGGCATTTATTACCATGCCTGGTGGACATGCCCTATCGCTAAGAAATATTGGTCTAAGATCCATAGATGGTTGGAAAAGATGATGAAACTACAAATAGAATTTAAAACGGAATTGTTTTTGTTAGGAATATTAAGACCTAATTATGGCAAAGAGAATGACTACTTGATATTGCATGTTTTAACTGCTGCAAGGATAGTATTTGCCCAATTTTGGAAAAATGAGAATCTACCATCTGATCAGATTATTATTATCAAAATTTTAGAGTGTGCAGAAATGGATAGACTAACGTTAGAAATGAAAGAAGATGATTCAATTTATTTTATAACTTGAGAAAAATTTTATCAATGGTTAGAGACACGTTAGAACTTGACGGATTTAATATTTTAGAATAGATGACTGATTTTTAATCGAGTTCTAACTAACATTTTGATGATACGATTACTTTTCCTGATTTACTGATTTTCATTTGTTACTTTTGATTGTTAGGATTTTTTTTGAGATTTTATTAGTAGTGTTTACTTAATAGATTAACGTATTTGTTTACTAATTGTTTTTAATATGTTACAGTTTAAGCTTTGTTAAAAATGGTTGAATATGATATTTACTCATTATTATGATCCGGACAGTTGCTTGTTTGTTGAAATATGTGATTGTACCTATCCTTATTTTATCCTAATTCCTTATTTCCTTCCCCTCCCCCTTCTTTTACCCCTCCCTGTACTGTTCCTATTTTTCCTCACCTATATAAATTTAATAAAATTTTGTTTAAAAAAAAGAAAAGAAAAGGCCTCTGTAGCCAAGAATGGAACCCTGCACATCAACCTGAGGCTTGGTTCTTGACTGAAGGCCTCTGCCAGTGAAACGGAGGCCAGGGGCAACACATGCATCAACCTGGGGCTCCGTTCTTGATTGCAGAGGCTTTTCCTGAAGGCCTTTGGTGGTGAAACAGAAGCTGGGGGTGATACATGTGAGAGGCATTGAGCGGCCACAGAAGTGGGCTGGCGGCGGCCAGGTGGACTCCTGACTCATGGGGCTGTTGGTGCCGCCACTATGAGGCGAGACAGTGGAAAAAATAAGACATTCCCCCCCCCAAATAAGACCTAATGCCTCTTTTGGAGGCAAAAAAAATATAAGACCGGGTCTTATTTTGGGGAAAACACTATAGTAGCATAGCCTTCAGCGATCTACAATATCCTTCACAGATCTTTCTACATTTTAGCTATTGATCAAAACATTGCTCTGCAACAGACTTCCCTATGCTGGAATTACCCAGAATCAGGCTTGGCACTACCTTGTCTTTTTGAATCAAAATAATGTCACTTTTATCTTTCTCAAACTTTTAATAAACACTCTGTTTTTACAGCAAAGTAATTTTTAAATTAATCTCATTTCTGATATTATAGCTTGTATTAAACTTTTGCTGTTTAATTATTTGTCCAACCCATTGAAGTTTTATTGGATAAGACTGAAACTGATCTGAAAAGGGATTTAAAAGTGATAGGTTACAAGAATGGGAAAAGATGCTACACTGGACATACAAAGGAAACTGGCTGATGTTTTAAAAGTGATGTACAAATAACAAATCAACAGAATGACCTGGATAACTTTCCTATATTAGATTTACAACTTTCCTATATTAGATTTACAAATGAGACTTGTCAAAGCCTTTAGGAGTTGTATGGGAAGAGATTAAGAAAAATAGAAATCAACAGGACATTATTTGAAGAGATTAAACATCAAGATTGTTTTTAAAGTAAAAGGAAGGAATGTAAAGTTGGCTTATTTTTTTTAAGGTTAAAAGTAGATATGTTATCATCTCTGGTAACCCTTGAAAAGGACTTTTGTTGATTAGGGCTGAACAATGAAGCTTTGAGGATTTCTTTACACAGGTAGTCCTTGACTTGTAATCTTTTGTTTAGTGATTGAAGTTACAACAGCACTGAAAAAAGTGACTTACAAACCCTGCTCGCCCTTATCACCATCACAACATCTCCACAATCACATGATCAAAAGTCAGGAGCTTGGCAATTGGCATGTATTTTGGATGGTTGCAGCCTCCCAAAGTCACATAATCACCATTTGTGACTTTCCCAGCTGTCTTCTGTCAAGCAAAGTCTGTGTGAAACCAAATTTACTTAATGACTGCCTAGCTCACTTAACAAACACAGTTACTCGCTTAACAACTGTGGCAAAAAATAATGTAATTCACTGATCCACTTGCTTAACAATGGAAATCCTGGTCCCAACTGTGGTCGTAAGTTAAAGACTACTTGTAGATAATAGTTGGGATATGGGAAAAAAGATCATTAGTTGCATTGTAAGAGAAGTTACTAAAATTGTTTATACTTTGATGAAGGAGAAAGTCATTTATGCACATACTAACACACATTCTTTATATTTTTATTTTTTTCTTGTCTATTTTTCTTTTTTCCACATTCTATTTTTAGTTTGTATTAATTTTTATCTTTTTAATTGTAATTTTTAATAACATTACTATTTTAAAAAGTGCACTCATGATTTACCACAGTTCTGAGATTTCAGCTCTTTTCATTTGTTCTCATGAAGTGAAATGTACTGAGTGAGAAATAGATCTGTTTAAATCTAGTTTATGTGCATATAAATGCCTGTAAAGCTTATCTGTTAATTTTTTCTTGTATTTCAAACACCAGCAATTTTATGTCTTTCCCTCCCAGATGTTATCACAATAACCCTATATCTATATCCTTGTTTTTATTTTGAAACCTACATGGATTCTGAAATAAATTTCACAGGATTATGGAATGTGAAATCAAGCAGATTCAGAGTGTACCAGTCTGAGGAATATTGCTTTCTTAAATTTGTCCGGTACAGAATTACCTGAAACATTACCAACATAGCTCAGCATCTTGGAAATAATGAGACAGTAGCAAAGTTATTTTTAAATACTTTATTTTGTAAGAGTACATGGACATAATCTACCAGATTCAAAATAGTTTAGTCTAGTTATTTTATTGAGCCTTCCAAAGGCCAATAAAAGTTGCAGGCAAAAGTTACAGGTAAAAAAGAAGTATAATTTGTTGCTATGTATTTTTTTTAATTAAATTTGAGATTGTTCATGTTTATGTGCTTTAGTCATAATGACTATTGTTAGTCCTGTATCGTAATACAATTGATCTCTTGTTTCTCCCTCTCCTGCAGGCACAATGCCATCAGTCCCTGCCAAAACTGAAATGGATACAGTGACTTGCACTCATATTTCGGTTGACTGCATACCCAATGGAACCTTGGAGAAGGAATCTTGTAATTCAACAGAAAACGAGAGGAAATGGATCCGGCCTGATACCATCAGCAAGTGTACCTGGGAGCTTGGAAAATCTCCTTCTGAATCGCCCCATCACCATGCTACATTGTAAGTCAGTGGTTCTCAACCTTTCTAATGCCGTGACCCCATAATGCAGTTCCCCATGTTGTGGTGACCCCCAATCACTTATACATCACCGGTTGCCAGGGCTGTGTCCAAAGAAAAGGGGGGGAAAATGGCGGACAGCCTTGTTTGGCGACCCCCGTGAAATGGTCGTTCGACCCCAAATGGGGTCCCGACCCATAGGTTGAGAACCACTGTTGTAAGTGGTCGTTCAGTCAGTAGACGGGTGGAGGCAGGTGGCTTTTTGGAAGGTGGCTTTTATTGTAAGTTGGCTATTCAGTTTGATCCATTCTGATGTTAGTTGGGGATAATGAATTTAGGATTGTTCTCCAATAATATTGTATATCTTTTTCTGCTGTAGAACAAAGACGCCAAAAATTATGTCAGATATTCTCAAAAAAATTGGAGATACTCCCATGGTGCATATCAACAAGATTGGAAAGCTCTGTGGCCTCAAATGTGAACTCTGTGAGTATTTTTATAGTGATGATTATTTGGAATTGTAAACATAAACATTTGCATTCTTAACATCAGTATTATCAATAAGGGAGCCCTTAATTTAAAAGGACCAAATCAGTCAGGAATTTAGTAGACTTTGTGATTTTCTGTTATTTCTGAACTATGAGGCTATTTATGATATTATCATGTTTTAAGTGCAGCAGTTGGAAACTGACCTACAGTCACCTGATTCTCCAGTCTGCTATTGCTAGTGAGGCTTAAAACCCTAAATCATATAAGAACAATTTAAGACATTGCATGAGGTGCGTGTTGGATAGAAGGAAAACTTGGGAAAGAAGAAAGAGAAATAATGCCTTGGTAATACCACATTTGGAATACTGCATCCAGTTTTGGTCGCCACAATGTAAAAAAGATGTTGAGACTCTAAAGAGAGTACAGAGAAAAACAGCAAAGACTGGAAGCTAAAACATAAAGAACAGTTGCTGAAATTGGGCATGTCTAGTTTAATGAAAAGAAGGACTAGGGATGACATGATAGCAGTGTTCCAATATCTCAGGGGCCGCCACAAAGAAAAGGGAGTCAAGCTATTTTCCAAAGCACCTGAAGGCAGGACAAGAAGCAACGGATGGAAACTAATCAAGGAGAGAAGCAACCTAGAACTAAGGAGAAATTTTCTGACAGTTAGAACAATTAATCAGTGGAACAACCTGCCTCCAGAAGTGGTGAATGCTCCAACACTGGAAGTTTTTAAGAAGAGATTGGACAGCCATTTGTCTGAAATGGTATAGGGCTTCCTGCCGGAACAGGGGGTTGGACAACAAGACCTCCAAGGTCTCTTCCAACTCTGTTGTTCTGTTCTCGGTTTTTCAGAATGAAAATAGTTCTGTATATGTCTGGTTTGGGGTCTGAGCTTATAGAAGAGGATTGTCAGACTATGTAGTTGCTTATGGAAGGCACAAGATATTGGGCTAATCCAAATTCAGCTTCAGAATTAATTCATCAGAGGCTATTGTTTAGTCCAGACATGTCAAACACAAGGCCTAGGGACCGGATGCTGCCCGCGACGTGGTTTCACGTGGCCCGTGAAACCATCCTGGAAACGGTGAGGGAATGGCCCCCGCTGCCTTGGCCTCGGCCCAGGTTGGCCAGGAGCCAATCTACAATTTTGTGGTGGCCATCTATGCTGAAGCGCATTCAGCTCCACAAGGCTGTCTGGAAACAGCGAGGAACCAGCCCCTGCCGCATCGGCCCTGCTCTCTGGGTGCATGCTGGGGAGGTGTCCCCCTTTGTGAGGAATGAAGAAATGCATCATCGCCTGGAAGTGGTCCTGGTCCCACCCCCTTCTGCCAGAGACCCTGAAATCTGTCCCACTTCTGCCCAGGCCCCCACAGGCACCCTTGACATGAACGATGTAGAGCTGGTCATGCCCACCCAGTAGGCACACCCATTCCAACCATGCCCACCCAGTAGGCCACGCCCACCCTGACCACACCTCCCCCCCCGAGGACAACTGCAATGGTGATGCAGCCCTCAATGAAATTGAGTTTGACACCCCTGGTTTAGTCCAATATTCAGTTAGGATATGCATGCATATCTATGTACATGTAGATATCTGTGCAGATGTTCGGGTATATCTTTTCTTAGAATATGGATAGATGAAATGGCATTTGCCAAATCCCTTGCAGAAGGTTGATGGGCTTCTGTTTCTTGGTTCATCGGAAACAAATCCTACTTTAATTGTGGTATTCAGTGGCCAAATGCGAGTTTTTCAATGCTGGAGGAAGTGTGAAAGACCGAATCAGTTTACGAATGGTGGAAGATGCTGAAAGAGATGGGATTTTGAAGCCAGGAGATACCATTATTGAACCAACTTCAGGAAATACAGGTAAATACATCCATTTGATCTGTGATATAAAGAAATGAGTGGAATGGGGTGCACTTTTCTTCTGCTCCTGGCCTCGCCAAAAAATAAGATTAATTTTTAAAAATGGAAGGAAGTGACTGGAATACTGAAGTATTAAAAATGAATAATGCAAGTCTCCGTTCTAACAGAACTGAATACTAAACACCGTTGTATCAAGTTTTACAAATTCTCAGGAGGGGAATAATTGTTTTGCTTATCAGTTTTTAAACACTATACATTTCCAGTCTGCTAGATGATTAATGATTTGACTGAGCAAGTCCAACCATCCATTTGCGAAGGAATGGGGGAATGTTAAAGTGGTGCATACACAGTTTGGGATTATAATCCCATTTAGCCATGTAGGTAGATCAAGGATAGGTGGAAGGGTATGGAAAGTCTGCCTTATAGCTCAGCTGTCTCTTTCTATTTTTAGCATTATGGAACCTAGCTGGTTCATAATGGCAGGACATAAAGCAGCTCTGGAATAGAGGCTCTTAGGTCGTGTGTTTGGCAGCATTATCATACCTTGTTAGGATGGTGATTTTATTCATTAGTCTTTCTCCCTAACATACCATATTTAACTCAAACAGGGAGAGCTGCTACCAGTGCACAACTGGGAACAGGTAGAGCGATATCTTTCCAGAGGTTTTGTACCACATATCCCATTAGTATCTGCCAGAAGGATTAACAGGGAGTCTGGGAAATATATGGAGGATACTAGATGGTTTATTCTTGGCATACGCAATTCCGAGCTAGATCAATCAATAGTTGCTCGGTTTAAGCTAATTGCCTGGGTTAGGCTAGCTGCCTATATTTAAGTATAGAGTTTCAGAATATAAAACAAATGTATGGCTTTTTTAGTGACATTTTTCTTGGTTGCAGGAATTGGACTGGCCTTGGCAGCTGCAGTGAAAGGATACCGTTGTATCATTGTAATGCCAGAGAAAATGAGCATGGAAAAGGTCAGAGCTGTTTATCACTGACTGCTCAACACATGGCTGCATTAGTTGACTGAGGCACCCTAAGTCAGCAGTGCTGTCTGTGAGAAAGCTAGACTCAGCTTGCCATCTTAACATTTAATAAGGTTTTGCATGAGTTTTGTTAATGGAGCTAAAATATCCGATCCGACATTTGGTTTTGAATTGGCTCCAAGCCCATAACCACTTTAATATTCCAGTTGCATAAGCTTTCCTTGTGCACAGGCATAGACATTATGGCTAATTTTGATTGTTTTTCTTCAATAGGTGGATGTGCTACGTGCCCTTGGGGCTGAAATTGTGAGGACTCCAACAACTGCCAGATTTGATTCTCCAGAATCACATGTTGGAGTGGCATGGAGATTGAAAAATGAAATCCCCAACTCCCATATTCTGGATCAGGTAAAGTATTGAACATGAAAAATGCCTTCACCATGTAGAATAGTTTTTTTAATGTATTCATGCACTGCCAATATAAAGCAGAAAAAATGCTCGTATATTAAGAAATAGAATTAGAGGAAAAGGCACCTATGTTACAGGGAGCAGATAGTTTATGGTCTGAACTTGGATGGTGGAAACATGCTATCTTCTACTATCCATTGATTCTTTGTGTCTCTCCCTGTAGATCATCATAGGCCAATCACTGCTTAGATCATAACAAATTAATAGGGGTGAAACTGGTTGCTATTCACTTGTTCGACTGGTTTCAAGTGAACTTTTGTGCAACCTCTTTCTCTCAGATGGACTTTCTTTGTAGGATTTTAGCTATTAAAAAGGAGACACTCTTGGCAGATAAGGATCAGCAGAATAAGTAATCTTTTTTCCAATATACTGTAATACAACAATGCAGATATAAGGGGAGGGAAGGGGAAAAAAGGAGCGAGGAAGGAAGTAAGTTTGTGCTCTTGATAGTTGAGTTTAGAATGGTTTTCTTTTGATATTTAGTAAATTAATGTAAAAGCATTACTTTATTTTCTGTTTTCTGATGCACTGGTTTTCAATTTTTCCACCAGGAGGTTAATATAAATAATAAAACCTGCGCTCTCCCCCCCCCTCTCTTTACACAGTACCGCAATGCCAGCAACCCCTTGTCTCATTATGACACAACAGCAGAGGAGATTCTTCAGCAGTGTGAAGGTACATTATATGCTTTACAAACGCTTCTGTTCTAGAAATGGGAGCTTCTGGGAAATGGAAGCTATGTTAGGAGAGATGGATTAATATGACACAAGAGCGTTCAGTCCAACAGACAATTTACTTTTGCAAATAATTTGTGGGACTCGTCCAGTGGCCAGGTTACTTCCACACACAACTTGTTTTAAGAGGTGGAATAAATAGAGATGTAAAAAGAATGCACAAATCTTAGATCTGGACAATTGTTGAAATTCCTAGATTGTTTAAAACAGATTTAAGAACCATAGATTTTCCAAGGTAGAATATGTTCTGCAATCACAATAGCCCAAACCTGCAAAATAGTTTTCTAAAGCCTGTACTGTAAATTACCTGTACTGTGTGTGTGTGTGTGTGTGTGTGTGTACACACACACACATCTGTATAAGTCAACAAAAATCTATATCAAAGCAGCTTCTTGCTAATCATACACACACACAATCCACAAATCAAAGTTTTATCATCTTCCTTTCTCTGCTAAATATTATGAGTTTACCATGAAGAGAGGGCTTTTTTAAACCTCAACTAGCCTTTTTGGGCAATATTCAGTTGAGTACCTGTATAACTGTGCTTTGAACCTCAGACTAAGTACTCCCATGGTACAGGTGACATTTTTCTGGCAGCCTTTGTTTATGATCTTGCTTTGGGGCAAAGAGGAAGGCTGTTGCCTGAGAGTCCCATATTGGCATGGCCAATAGACCGGATTGGTTTTGTAGGTGGAGATGCCCCATTCATGCTACAGCTTTTTGGGGCCAGGAGATCTTTCCATTCTTGCCTATTTATTCTTAAAGTAGTACTTGTGGGCAGCAGGTTCAGTTGAAGCCTACTTAATGAGATAGTTGCAACAAGTGTACATGACAACAATATACAGAAGATGTATCTATGATACCCCTATTGCATGATCCAGACTGAAGAGATGGCAGAATACCAAAGAGTGCCGGAGAAGCTTTATAGCTCAACAAGAATTTGGGTTTGGTTTACATGAGATACTAAACCCCTTATTATAGCTTGGTATGTTGTATGAAACAGGAGCCTGAGTTTTTCATAGGCAGTGGCCAATTTAGAAAATACATCAGGCATTTTCTTTAAACATTACTAAAAACAGTGTGAGAACATGGGTTGGGTAAGCCATGCGTATCTTGAAATATGTGACTTTGGGGTGGTGTGTGTGTGTGTGTGGAGGCTCAGTATGTTTTGGAAAAATAATCCAGTTACAGCTGTTACTCAGTAACTATCTTGGTTAGTGACCGTTCGCAAATCAACAATAATAAACAGTAATAAAAAATTAAGTTCCCAGCCAATGCCTGCATTTACCACCAAATTTCCAGTGTCTACACCGGTACTTGTGGTTGCCAGATGAAGAGAGGATATGTTAATTCTGTTACTAACCGGAAACCAGCAGAGGGAGCACCTACACAATAAGTCCTATTTTGCTTCTATGTAAGACAGAGCAGAACAGTACTTTGAAAATAAGTCAGAAGAAGCACTTTGAACCTTACACAAGTGCCCAGAGACCTTTTTGAGGTTTCCATGTGAGCCTGAAAGAAGGTGTTGCTTTTTAAAAACTTGTCCTAGTGTTATTGAATGAATTCCTTAAGCAGCAGCATCTGTTTTCTCTGAGTCACTCAGCTTGAAAAATATCGGGCTCCTTTCATGACCAGCAGAGGGTTCTGCCTTCATGCATGGTCCAAAGCGCTTCTTCAAAATAAATTTTAAAGTGTGTCCACCTCTAATGTGAAGCAATTCTTAGATTATTTAAGTGAAACCTCATCTAGAATACTAATCTTAAATTTAGTACTTTAGGTATTGGGAAATTGTTTTAAACTTCATGTTGCAGTTTAAATTAAATAAGATGCATGGAGATGTTTAATAGATGAAAGGACAGAGACTCAAGTGTCTTTGAACAAATCCAAAATAAGGTTAGATGTGTCAGGGAAATGAGATAAATACAAGCTTCTTTTGCAAAAGAAATAGACCAAGAAATTAGAAGATGGATCTTTACAACTTATATTAGCAACTATAAGAACTTTCTAGAGTTTTGTAGCTAAAAGTGAAGAGTCTTATGACACCTTAAAGATAACCTAATATATTATTGCATAAGCTTTTGTGATCGTTATTCTATAAGATGCAAAGAATGCAGTCCTTGGAAAGAAATATTATACATCCCCTAAGCTGTTGCTGGACAGGCGGAGAGAAAAGAAAGAAATCATATAAGGAGAGGGAGAGTTCTGAGTAGGCAAAACATTCATTTTTTGCATTTAGAAGCTGATTATAAAATGCGATGCAATAAAAACGGACTGCTTTATCAATCAATGTTAATATAATTGCCACAATTTATATAAGCCATATTGAATAAAGTATGAGCAGAAAAAGAAGTAGGTCAGAATATGCTTATATAAAAAATTTTTCTAAAATATGAAATGCTCATCAACATCGATAGGCTGATAAAGCATGGATTGTAGTTAAGTGACACTATGTAGCTTCCAATGATAGCTTTCAGAATGTGAATGTTCTCAGAATGGGAACATGAGACATCCATTACTGTATCCTTTTTTTCAAAGTCACTGAAAAACCACCTGGGCTTAAATAAAAGCAAAGTAAATGTTCGTTATTGCTCATCTAGATAGAGCTTTTTCATATTTGTAAAATATTTATTTCTGCCTCTTCAATAGGTCAAGTAGACATGATTGTGGCTGGAGCTGGCACAGGAGGCACCATCACTGGTATTGCCCGAAAAATCAAGGAGAAATGCCCTGGATGCACAGTAAGTCCCAAACAAGAACATTGGGCTCACTGCTTAAGTTACTGATAGGGGTGTCTGTCTATATGTGTATACATATGTATATATGCCCTTGTAGATTACCTTATAGCAGGGGTTCTCAACCTTGGCAACTTTAAGACTTGTGGACTTCAACTCCCAGAATTCCTCAGCCAGCTTTGCTGGCTGAGGAATTCTGGGAGTTGAAGTCCACAAGTCTTAAAGTTGCCAAGGTTGAGAACCCCTGCCTTATAGGCACTATTACAAACTCTGCAAATGGCAGGTGATTCAAAAAAGGCATTTCCTTCTCCGTGCAAACTGTACAAGAGACAAATAAAATGTTTTATCCTGCTGATTACAAAAACAATTCCTCTAATGATTGAAATCATGTTTATTGAGATGGCTACTTTTTATAAACCTGAGTTCATTTGCTACATTTAGCCATGAGAGTGTGTCTGCAGAGTGTTTGGACTGCTTGTCTGCTCAGTTCATTCCTGTGATTACACTTATTCTTCAAGCACCAAAAGAAATACTATGAAATGTTATCACGTGACAGGACCTAATAGCTTTATAATTATATTAAATGAGCAAACAGACATTCCTGGTGTGATTTTTTTTAGTAATTTCTTTCTTTCCTTTGTCTCAACATTAGCTGCTGACATAGCACTATCCAATATGAACTTTCCCATTTATTGAGAGCAATACAGGTGGTTATGTTCACTTTTTGAGAAATAAAATCAGTGCAGAGAATGGGCCCAAATATTATGAAACAGAGTGTGGTGTCGCCCTCTCCCAATCCTCTCTTATATATAAAGTTTTGGCTGGTGTATTGATAAGAGCGGAGCGGGTTAATAAATTTCTGTATAAACTACTGCTCTCACATTCCAGGTAAACATTTAGAAAGAAAAAAAATGAACTAGAATTCCATAAAGGGTGGGAAAAATAAGTACCTAGGAAAATTTTTGAATAATAAAAAAAAAAGTCTTAGGAAGAAAAAGGAGCTCCTTCCACCATGTGTGTCTATACTAAAATTCACTGTGTCCCAGGATAATTTTCTGTTTTGGAAGCAAACAACCCAAGGAGTTGTACTTTCCTTACACATCCTTGCATGAAATATCTGTTTTGCCCTCTAAGATGATGAGTACACATATGCATTCTGCTTTAATTTCTTTTCTTAAATTAAAAAAAATAAGAAAAGCTATGCTTAATTTTGTGGGAAATTAAATTTGACCCAAGTAGGAAATTATTTCTTAGAACAATTATTTAAGAATTGTCCCGGATCATGGAATTATGCAAATATCAAATTAATAGGGGCAGTTGCTTTTTATTTATTTATGGTTCCAGATTGAAACATGGACTACTTATACAATACTTTTAAATGGAAGTACCAAAAGTTCCATTATTCAACTTAGACATTTCCCAAGGCATAACTGCAGAGGCACCAGTGATGCAGTAATGTTGATTTAGTCATGTCTGTGATTTTATTTAATTGTTTTTTCAATATCTGTCTATTTAAAATCAAAATACTATTTCAATAACAAATTGCTCTTTAGATTGTAGGTGTTGACCCTGAAGGATCTATCCTAGCGGAGCCTGAAAAATTAAACATAACTGACAAGACAGTTTATGAAGTGGAAGGCATTGGATACGATTTCATACCCACAGTTCTGGATAGATCGGTAAGGAAAGTTTCATATACATATTCTTTAGTGATGTGATTTTCAACCTTGGCAACCTTAAGATATATGGACTTCAATTCCCAGAATTCCACACCTCTTAAAATTGTCACAGTTGAGAAACATTGCTTTAGTGTGACCCTCATTGAAACCCTTTGGTTCTTAAGTGCAGGACTAATCTTTTTTTTCCTTCTTATTTCCTTCATCCAAACTTAGCCTTTAATCTTTGTGACAGTTTTGATATTCAAGCTTTATTTAGATTTCTGAACTTTTAACAGATTTGATCCTACTTTTGTCAATTTCTGAATTTTGGAAGACAAATTATTATTACAGAATTTTCCAATATTTATAACAGGACTTATTCATAGCAAAATACGACTCAGTTGCTCTTTCTTAAGAGCAGTCTGCTTGCTTTATATAGCTTGTGTAGTTTGGAAGACTTCCTGGAAGTGCATAGCACAGAAAGAAATGGAAGATTCAGAAAGATGTTGTGCAATGCTTAAAAGGGAATAGTTTGAAAATTCATGAGGTGCCTTATCTGACACAATAGAAAAACCCTGGACTACTGTATTTTAACTGTACTGTAATTTAATTGTATTATGGGATCCAGAGAATGTTTTTTTCCCTGAAATTTGTATCAGTGGATCCAAGAATTCACTGCTAAATCCATTTCTCCTTTCCATACATTTTCTGGCATATCTAATCAATTCTGGTCATCCCAAATGAGAATGAAGCAATAGCCACCAGCAGGTTTTCTACGTAATATCTTGCCTCCTGGGGTTGTGGATGCTCCATCACTGGAGGTTTTAAAAAATAGACTGGACAACCACTTGATCAGGATGGTATAAGATCTCCTTCCTTGAGCAAGGGGTTGGACTAGAAGACCTCTGAGGTCCCTTCCAGCCGTATGATTCTGTGTTCTAGTACCAATGGATGACTCATATGAAACAACAAGTCTAGAATAATGTTTATGTGCCCTTTCTTCTAGGTGGTAGACAAATGGTATAAGTGTAACGATGAGGAATCTTTTGCCTTCTCGCGCATGCTAATCAGAGAAGAAGGATTGCTTTGTGGTAAGCATAGTGTAATCTGTAGTCTAAACAATAGTAGAATTGTGGCAACATTTTTACTTTTGATATCAGTTGGGGGCATTCTACTTCCATACCAGACAGTTTTTATGAACAATGCAAACAATGAATGTGGAACTCATGGATTTTACTGACGTCTTTACTTCTGCAAATATGCATCATATGGTTTGAAGCCCTTCTTATAAGCAGAGATCTATAAAGTATGTAAAATGCTGCTTACACCAGTAGATCTCTTTGAGTCAGGAGGATTTAGTCAAAAACAATATTAGTCAGGGGTCCCCAACCCCCGGTGGGTGGACCAGTATCAGGCCGCAGCATGCCAGCAACTGGTCCGCACAAACAAGGAAAGCCCCATCCACAGGATGCAGGCAGCACACAAAATCACACCCCCTATGGTCTGTGGAAAAACCTCTCTCCACGTAACCGGTCCCTGGTGCCCAAAAGGTTGGGAACCTCTGATATTAGTGACTTCAGATATTAGAAGAATATATTATTTCACTAAGGAGGTCAGTTCACTAAAAGCCTCCTCTTTCTCTTCCCTAGGCCTTCCACTTTCAAAAGCCATTAGAAGTATCATAGTTACACTAGCCCTTTGTAATCTTCCACCGCCTCATGCAGCAAGTTATTCATGGAATACCCTTGACAATTGCCAGTAGTGACTGTTCCCTTTTTTATCTTTGCACCGTTGTTGCCTATAATTTGCAAACTCATGTCCTCATCTTGAGTACTTCATATAGCTCTTCTTGCCACATTTGAAAAATGATATAATACAACTGAAAAAAAGTACAGAAGAGGAAAACCAAAACAAGTAAGATGCTTGAGCATCATCTGTAGCTTAGAAAAAAGATGTCTGGGGGGACTCATGCATGGGATGGAGAAATTAGGGAGGCGTTGTAATCATTTTCTCCAAACACTAGGGTCAGGTTCCTTTAATGAAACTGATGGGATGATTTTGAATGGACAAAAGAAATCACTTTTTTATATAAGGCCTATTTAAACTGTGGAATTCTTTATTATTATGATGGTTGGTCACACAGTCACTCAGCTGTTTAGACTGGATTTGGCATTTTTATCTATCTAGCGAGTCCTTCCCAAGGAACTGGGCTAGGCAGACATTGTTTGATGGTTTGAAAGATATCATTTCAGGATATAAGCTCTTCCAAGTGAAACTGCCTTTTGCAATTGACTGGCGGTGATTTTGTCACTGTTGTTGGTGTTCAAGTGGTGCTCTAGATGTTTTGGGATTGCACTCAAGGCGCGTATTATTAGTGCTACTGTCTTTGCTTTCTTTTGCCCCAGTCATTCTAACTCTATTTGTAGGTCTTTGTATTTTGTGATTTTCTCAAGTTCTCTGCTGTCTCCAGGTACTGCCACATCCCAATGCACCATTGTTACTAATTTATCATGCCATTGTTTAGAGCAGAGATCTCCAACCCCGGTCCATGGACCGGTACCGGGCCGCGGCATGGCAGCAACCAGTCCACACAAACAAGCAAAGCCCCATCCGTGGGATGCAGGCAGCACACAAAATCATGCACTCTCCGGTCCATGGAAAAACCTTTCTCCACGGAACCGATCCCTGGTGCCCAAAAGGTTGGGGACCTCTGGTTTAGAGTCTGTGTGACTTTCTTGTAGCAGCTAACTAGATGGTCCACTATTTCTTCATCTTGTTTGCAGGATGGCATTTGTTGTCTCTTGCATATTATTATAACACAACAACGTGAAACCAGAGCTGCCAGTTCTTTAGCTAGTATTGGCCTTCAGTCACATCAAGTTCTTTTCAAGAACCTAGGATGTCATAATATATTGGCATAGAATATGTCTGGAACCAAGATGTGTGGCCTTTTCAATTGACCAGTGTTGTCAATGCACAGATTTCCTAAGTCCTGTCCAATTTTTTCAGGAGAAGAATATAGCTCTGCTTCTTACTTGTGAACACTTCAGAGGCATCTCCATGGCCAGTGTGTGAGAAAGAAAATGCTGGACTAAGATGGCCTGGACATTACATTCCTATGTTATTGAATAGTACCTGCTGTTGAAAGAACAATTTTTGATTACGACAGAACTTTTCTAAGAAACTGTTACAGTGCTTTAAACAAATTTTCAAAGTATGCTTAAATTAACTAATTAAGAGGCTTTGGCCTCACACTCTTTCTTTTTTCCTTCCTTTTCATGCTGTGCATTCCAATATACTTGAATTCTGATAATCTCCTGTGTCTTTTGACAGGTGGCAGCTCAGGTAGTGCCATGTCTGTTGCCGTCAAGGCAGCCCAAGAGCTAAAAGAAGGCCAGCGTTGTGTTGTCATCCTTCCCGACTCTGTCAGGAACTACATGTAGGTACCCTGCTTTGTATGCCTCTTCCTTCCCTACACTGATTACGATACGGCTGTCCAGCAATCCAAAGTCAAAGAGGAAATTGAAGGGCTACCTAAATTTATAGTTAGGGCAAGCCCTTGAGGCAAGGCCATCCATGAGGGGGAATCAAACTTTTAAGATGGCAATTGTGACTGACTGATCAAAGTCCTGTTCCTTTTTTTCTATGCATCACACATTAAAAATGACTAGGTTTTGATTGCACAGTCGCAGATATTATCTTGACTTTTTTGATCCCCCCCCTGTGAGAGCTGTGGGTTTGGCAGGACAGGTGAGACAGCTTCCTGTGCCTTCTAATGTGGCTGTTGCTTCTTCTTCATTTAGAGGTTGCTATTGCTTCATTCCACTCTGCAGTCTAAAATCTAGCTTTTCAACATCTCAGCCTAGATACTTTTGACTACAGCAGAAAAATAGCGGTAAAGGAAACAGTCCTGTAAAAAGATACTTTGACCTATGAGAGAACCAACCAATAAAGCTTTTCTGCTAGCTACATGTTTGAAATAAAGATACGTTAATCATTTTCTATGACATTGTATCTCACATTATCCTTATTGCTTGTTTACATTTAAATCACCTAAACTAATGTTTGTGACTTACTTTCTTGGTGGTTTTTAGGTCTAAGTTTTTAAGTGACAAATGGATGATCCAAAGAGGATTCATGAAAGAAGAGGATAATGATATTAAGAAGCCTTGGTGAGATGATAAGATCTGTCATAGTTTAATAAAATGTGTCACGTTTCCATAAGTTTTAAACCTAATTGAACCATCCTGTTGGCTTTTTTTTTCTTGCTTTCTCTGAGTACATTGGTATAATTTTTCTCTTCTCTCAGCCTGGATATGTGCATACCAGTTGGGTCTGAGAAAGTAGATTCTAACAAAGTGTTAATTTTTAAGCCAGAAGGCGCCTTTTAAAAATATTGATAGTTAATCCTTTCAAACAAGATGTAAATTCAAAAACAGTCATTCATTCGTGGATTCTTAATGACTGGTTCAGAGGTATACGTGTCTCCATTCCAGTTGTTAGAGGGCATGAGCAAGAAAATGCTGTCGTGAAAGTTCTTGATTGTAAACTTCCCCTGAGCATCTAAATGGCAACTGTGGGAACCAGATGGGTCTTTGGTCTGAACCAGGATTCAACTTACATTTGATGGATGCCAGGAAACATGCTTTCTTTGCCATGGTGCCCTCCTTGTGGTACATCCTTCCCTCCAAAATTAGATTAGCTCCATTCCTTTTGATATTCTGAAAGGCCTTCAAGTCCTGGTTATGTTATCAGGTCTGGAGCTCACGGGATGCTGGAGATTTGACGAGATGGCTTCTGTTGGGGAGATGGCCATTTTTATTCCTCTCGTTACCTTCAGTTTGTATCTTTGATTTTTATATTTGTTAATATGTAATTTTTACACTTTATAGCTGCAGCTTTTTGTGTTGTCATTTTATTTTATTGTTGTGCACCACCCCTAGTCACTTTTGGTGAGGTGGCAGCTATATAAATTTGATAAATAAATGCATAAATAAAATGAACTTTATCAGCATTTATATTTATTCCTTATTTAGAGAAGGAGATGGGCTTTGCTAAATGTAAGCATTGTGCAATACAAGCCTCTAATAGCAGGGGTCCTCAACCTTGGCAACTTTAAGACTTTAAGAAGTGTGTCGTGGGGTGCCCCAGGGCTCTGTTCTGGGCCCAGTGCTCTTCAACATCTTCATCAACGATCTGGACGAGGGGATAGATGGGGAACTCATCAAATTTGCAGACGACACTAAGCTGGCAGGAATAGTCAACACTCCAGAAGACAGGCTTAGGATACAGGAGGATCTGAACAGACTTGAACACTGGGCGCTATCTAACAAAATGAAATTCAATAGTGAAAAAAGCAAGGTTTTACTTTTAGGCAAGAAAAACCAAATGCACAGGTATAGTATGGGGGTACCTTGCTCAATAGTAGTAACTGTGAGCGGGATCTCGGAGTCCTAGTGGACAATCATTTAAATATGAGGCAACAATGTGCTGCAGCTGCCAAAAAGGCCAATACAGTGCTGGGCTGCATTAACAGAGGGATAGAATCAAGATCACGTGAAGTATTAATACCACTTTACAATGCCTTGGTAAGGCCACACTTGGAATGTAAAAAAGATGCTGAGACTCTAGAAAGAGTACAGAGAAGAGCAACAAAGATGATTAGGGGACTGGAGGCTAAAACATATAAGGAACGGTTGCTGGAATTGTTATGTCTAGTTTAACGAAGAGAAGGACGAGGGGAGACATGATAGCTGTGTTCCAATACAAAGAAGAGGGAGTCAAGCTATTCTCCAAAGCACCTGAGGGCAGGACAAGAAGCAACGGGTGGAAACTAACCAAAGAGAGAAGCAACCTAGAACTAAGGAGAAACTTCCTGACCGTTAGAACAATTAACCAGTGGAACAACCTGCCTCCAGAAGCGGTGAATGCTCCAACACTGGAAGTTTTTAAGAAGAAACTGGACAGCCATTTGTCCAAAATGGTATAGGGTTTCTGCCTAAGCAGGGGGTTGGACTAGATGACCTCCAAGATCCCTTTCAACTTTATCATTATTATTATTATTATTACTTGTGGACTTCAACTCCCAGAAGCTGGCTGGGGAATTCTGGGAGTTGAAGTCCACAAGTCTTAAAGTTGCCGAGGTTGAGGACCCCTGCTCTATAGGTAAGGGCACATTTGAGAATGTAGAAAACTTTTAAAAATATCGTTTTTATTTCTCTGTATTTCTTTCTTTAATGTCAGCAACAATAAGCTCTCTATACAAACTCTGCAATTTCCTGTTTGGCTCACAGTAGCGTTCCTCTCAGTGTTAATTGCTCTCAGTGTTTTGGTGATGGTGTACACAAAATGCAAATAGAAGGGATGCCTGAAGCATACATTCGGTCTAAATTACCTTTCCTGCAAGTCAGGCAGGGATTAGCTGCTGTATTTACTCTTGAATACACTATTCTGCTGTAATAATCTTTTCAGAAAAGCTTAAGTATGCAAAAATGCAATACAGTTTGTTCTTCAGTGCCTGAACCACTAGGATATTTGTTCATTTTCTAGGTGGTGGCACGTGAAAGTTCAGGAATTATGCCTGTCTGCCCCTCTAACTGTACTGCCAAGTGTTACCTGTGAAAAGACTATTGAAATACTCAGAGAGAAGGGATTTGACCAAGTACCAGTAGTGGATGAATCTGGGTATGTATAGTCTTCGATGTTTTCTTCCTTTGTTCCAAATAAATCCACTTTCTGAAGAGTGTAATGTTGGGAAATTATTTGTCTTATTTGGTTTTCTCGAGCAAAATCATGTCAGTCATGTGGGGTTGGTTGTACAAATTGCTGCGATATGGTTGAATGGCAAAAGTATTCAAAATAAATGTAGATGTTGCTCCTTCGGCTCTCTGCTGATTGAACTTGCATTCAGTTAGCAGAACGTAAGAATCCAACATGGGTGAAGGGTATAGAGCCCGATGCAGTGCACTTGGCACACATGAAATGGACTAAATCAGCTGAAGCAACAGATCCTCCGACCCTGTTTGTGTCAAGTCACAAGGACTGCATGATAGAATGGCACTTCCTTAAGTTTAGGGGGGGAAAGTGGAACTAAGGTTGCTGCTTTTAAAATCTGCTTTTAAAGTTACGACATGGTTTATTATGTTTTGAGAGAATTGTCATCACCTAAAAATGGCCCATAAAGTAATTAACCGAGTTCTGATTGTATAGCCAGCTAAATAAAAAGCCAGTGGGATGGCCAAGCTTACCAGGACAAATTGTGATCTGAGCAGGGAAGTCGTTCCCAAAGTTTACCTCAGTTTAATAAACAAGATTTGTTTAGTAAGTCTCTCATATAATCTGTGCTACTAGTAGCTCAGATGTAAAAGGTCCTGTATTGTCTGACCCAGACAGTATAAAATGTAACACATGGTAAACAGTGAGTAAGATGTAACAAAGAAAGAAATATCATTGTACTCTCACCTAGTCTGGCAGGTTTTTTCTATTATCAAAAGCTAACTTTTCCAAAGTTTCAGGAACTATGTAGACACTAGTTAGTGATAAACTTTTGTTTAAAACAGGGGTGCTCAACCTTGGCAACTTTTAGACTTTGGACTTTAACTCCCAGAATTCCTCGGCAAAGTTTGTTTGCTACAGTTTTATCCTGAAAAGATTGAAAATACACATTTGTAGAGGGCAGCAACTTAAGTGGAACAGGTCAAGGTGGGGAAGGGTCAACCTCTAACTAATTGGGAATTTCAGAATTCCCTCCTCCCCTCTGAAAAATGGGGTTGGGTTGGTAAAAGAAAATAACAGTGTGAGATCAGTGTACTTGTCACCTGAATTTGTGGAAATGCTGATGTAAAGCTTTTAAATGAAAAAAAAATGTTGATACAATTCATTCACTGCTTTGCTTGGGGTATCCTTTTTTAGACTGATTCTGGGGATGGTTACTCTTGGCAATATGCTCTCTTCGGTGCTTGCTGGTAAAGTACAGCCATTGGATAAAGTCAGCAAAGTAATCTACAAGCAGTTCAAAACGGTATCGTGCCTTCTGTATATATCTTTGTTTCTATTCCCTCCCCCACCTTCACACTATGTAGAAAGAGTTTCTGAAAATCTCACATATTGATCAGTCACAGGAAAATTCAAACAGGAGGTTTACATCCTTCAAGTATTCGGGATTAAAAACACTCTGTTTACTGGTACTGTAGTGGTACCAGTAAACACAGTTAAGTATTCAGCTTCTAAAGCATGATGAAAGCAATGTTTCAGTGACTGGAATACCCTTTCTGTACACCAAAAATACCTTTAGATTGAGCTTTTAAAATGATTAACCACAATACTGTGGAGAACATATAGAAGCAAAATGCATGTAAATTTAAGGGGTAGAAACAGGGTAGTAGCAATCATGAAGTTTTTGTTGTATGCAATAAATTGAAATCACGTGAAATAAAACCAAAATCCTCCTTGTAAAAACATGTCTCTCTGTACTTTTTAACGTGCATTGTTGAGAACTTCCATGTATAGTCTCATCCTGCCTTCACTATAAAGCTATAACACTAATGTATTTTATTGTAGGAATGATAGCTGGTTGATGCTATAAATGGTTATTTTGGAGATCTGTGCTGTGTCTCAAGTGGACAAAATGCTTAAATGTTATCTGCATAGGGTTGAGAATATTTATTAGTGTACATCCTGATTTTTTTTTATTTTTTCCTGATTTGCACAGAAAAACACTCCCCATAAACATATAGTACATGGAATTTTTTAAGCATAGCTCATGAACCCCATACTCTTTTTTTAAAAGGTGTTGTTGGAAAACTACTAAGTGGAATGAGGATCAGAGTTGTTATCTAAATGTGAATGGTGTGTAAGAAATAATAGCAATGTCTTTTAAAATCATGCAACTTTCTCTTACAGATTCATTTGCAGGACAACTTAGGAAAGCTCTCTCATATTTTGGAAATAGATCATTTTGCTCTGGTGGTACATGAACAGATTCAATGTGAGTACAAGATTATTTGTATGCTGTTCCGAGTCAGTTTCTGCCTTTTTAACTAGCATGTTTAGGTCTATAAATTTCTGATTTTCTAGTAAATTATAATGATTTAACGTTGTCTATTGAATAAATTCAAAGAAACCCATAGCCATGAAATAATGCTACTCTAATTGAGTAGATTGAGCTTTTCTGAATCTTGGGTTGGACTGAAAAGAGTAGTGTATAAACTGTAATATGTATATTAATAGTGGTACAACCAAAACTTTAACTGAAGGGCGTTTTTTAATCTTAGCAGTGGTACTGATTCTGGTCCTGCCCTCATTACAATGCAAATTACGTCAGACTGTAATTTATTTTTTTAGAGGAAATGGATTCTGCACTAATTTCTACCTCAGTCTTCCATAACAGTTATCATAATTTCTAGAATTCTCTATTATACTGTATTTATGTACTGGAGTATCAAAAACCTCTAAGCTTCCAGTTTAAATCCTGGCATGAATCTGAATTTCTCCCAGCTGCTTTCCATAAACGTATAACATCAGAAGTTAATGGGTGAGCAACTCAAGACAAGGAAGATTAGGATATCTGACTGATGTATATATAAAGAAACAACAGCATTAGAAGTGGTCTGCCCTTTCTTCAAAGTAACTCATATATAGTTACTAAGTGACTTTGTCTTCAAGGTCATTGTTAATGTATAACTCTATCTATTCAATACATTTTTCCTAAGGGCTCACAACTGCATTTTACATTTAGTTGACATCTTTCCAATATAATAGCATATACTGGAACTGCATAAACAATTTCTTTGCTATTTATGGTTTGCTGAAATTTCCTAGAAATGTTGCAGTGAAAATAACAGAATTCTTAAGAATAACTAATTTGTTATCACTTAAACTTTATATAAAAAAAGCTTGTATAATAATAAACTGGTTAGTCCTTAAGATCTCAGAAAATTCTCTATTATGACACTTCTGTACTTTTATTGATCCTGGATTTATTTGTTAGTTTACTTTATTTTTATTATTTATTTATTTATATAAAATAAAAATGCTTTCCACGCAGTTATCACTTGAGATACAGAAACTCTCCATCTATCTATATTTATTTACTATCCTTTTGGCAGAGTTAGGTAGAAAGCCTACCTTTAAAATACATGTTAGCTGTGTATCTTTATGCCTGGGTGAGGGACCGTTGTCCTTGTTTATTTAACCTACTCTTCCTAAAGGTTTTTGCCGTCCAATGGAAGGACACAAGAATCTTTTCATTAGATAAAAGAAACCTTTCGAATCCAACTGTTGAATTTTAAAACTTTCTAATTTGAAGGGTGCCTCAAATGTTCGTTCAGAAGGCGAAACTTTGTTAACAGGGTTGCACTTATTGTTTATTTTTTGAGGGAGAAGGGCTGAGGTCTACAGTAAATGGAACGATGTGAAAATTGGACCGATGTCCTGCCTTGCACATGGGCAGAGCCAGGGTTTTCTGCATTCCCTTTCCCAGTGTTCGTTTTGTGTTAAGTCTTGTCTCTTGCTATTGTTCTTAAGTCTGCTCTAAAATATTTCTGCGTCTTCCTCCTCAGAATAGCAGGAAACAAGAACCTGGGGTGGAGGGTGGTCTAGTTGGGAGGGTATGCAGAAAATCATAGCCTTCAGTCATAATTTGTGGAGCTTGATTTTACAGTGACAAATGAATCACAAATATAAAATTCACAGAATAGACCAGTATTTCATGGACTTCAGCTCTCAGAATTCCCCATCATGCTAGCTGGGGAATTCTGGGAGTTGAAGTCCACAAAACTTAAAGTTGCCAGGTATGAGAAACATTGGAATAAACAATTCACTAGAGAAGATGCCCCACTTTATATCCTAAGTTTAGAGTTTTCTCACCCACTGTTAATGATATGCCCTTTGTTATTTTAAAGTGGCTTTTACCTTTCAAATTAAGTCTTATCGCTGCCACAGAATAAGCCAAGGCTGGCAGTTCTACACCTAAAAGAATGCTCCTGCTGGGTCGCAGGTTCTGCGGAGCCTTGCCCTGTTTATCCCTGAAATTCTCAGAAAGTCCCTTGTTGCAGTTTGTATGGAATATGCATTTGAAATTAATATAAGGCCATTCTGTTTAGAAAAAATGCTTATAGGTTGAGCCATTGGCATCACATAGATTTCCACTGAATGCTAGCAGACACCTATCAGTGGCATAAACAGGCGCAATTTCCAAAAGCAGAGCAAGGAAACAAGGCAGTTCCTAAATTGCTATAATCTTGGAGTTCTTTCCTTGTTTCTGTACACTGGACATTCTGATAAGGAACTCTGGGAGATACTCATCTAAGACATTAGGAAAGTATCTGGTTGGGGAAATCTACTGTTAGATAACTGCATATAATTTATCTGTGTGTAAGTGCAGGATAGTAACTTTATATTTTAAAATGCTCATTTGAAAACAGTTTCCATCTCATTTCACAAATCAGACTTATTGTATTCTCTTGTGTCTTCTAGATCACGGTGATGGTGAATCTAGTAAAAGGCAAATGGTATTTGGTGTTGTTACGGCAATTGACTTGCTGAATTTTGTGACTGCTCAGGAACAGAAGAGAAACGCAACCTAAGTTCAAGAAACATGTCAACGGGGCTCGTTTCATTGGGTTTTCACATTAAAAAAAAGTCTCTCTCTTCTTCTTTTTTGCTTCTTTTGTTAGAACAATCTAGAAAAAAACCCTTTTGGTCAAAATGAATACCATCAGAGTCATTATAAACAACTGTTAGATTTTAAAATGTTGTAATTTCTAGAATGTAGTGAACACATTGAAATATAAGGACACTGGGAAGTTTTAAGATTAATAATTTCAGTAAAGAATTGCTTTGTTTGCACATATTGTGAAGGCACTGCTGAGCTGGAGGACTAAGTCCTGAATGATCAAGCCACCACAACAGGAAGGCTATGTGACAGCTTCCCAAAACCCATTGCTGGTCCTGCTTCCACATTATGGGGTGGTCTAAAAACTCTTCCATTTCTTACATTATGCTGTTTTGTAACCCAGAATGGTATTAGATATCTTAATCTTTAATCCTATTAAAGATGACCAGTGTCAAACCTACTGGCTGTCTTCTAGTGCACAGAAGAAAACACAACTATTTCTTAACCCAATCTTCATAAAGGATTTGTCTTCATATATATCCAGGGGTTTGAATATATAATTACATGAGCAATAGGGAAAGTGGTCTGAAAACATCTTCTCTGCTCTTCTCTACTGTTTTAAGCTCCTTTTACAGATGCTGGTTTGTTTATCCAGATGTCTCTGCTGAATTCCATATTTCACCCATTTTCCCAACCCTCAACACAAAACATGACAAAACATCCATTATCCCTCCTACTTGCAGATTTCACTTAATATCAGTTCCTTATTCTGGTCAAATTATGGGTGCAAGGGAAAGTAAGAAATTGCTTTGCCAGTAAGTAAAAAACGAGGGAAAAAACTCTTTTAACTAGTTCATGCAGTTTCCATTCGTTTGTGTACATTTTGTGTAATCAAAGAGAATTTTGTGTACTTGAAACACTATTAGCTCATAGCACCTCTGGCAGCATCAGAAAACACTGTATTTTCTCTACTGTTAAGTATTCTAGCATCTAATGTTCTATTTATATATTGTTGGCTAGCCTGACTGCTAACATATTTGTTCTACAAAGACCAAATCAAAATATTTAATATTAAATCAAAATATGATTCTATCTGCACATTGTTTTAACTGTCCAGCATCACGTTGGCCAAGTAATTGTTATCTCTGTTTTGTTCATGGGTATGATATGTTATTTAAAATGATACTTGTTTAGCTGGTCATAATAGTCTTAATGGGGAATAACTGCAAACAAACTTAGCTGTTTTCTGATTCTTTTGGTATTCTCCTTTGATGTAGGATTTTCTTTTCTTTTGTGGTTTACTTTAACTTCTACTGGAAGTTTTAAAGAAGTGTGCTATTTATACTGTACTTTTTCCAGTCACAACAGTACTTGTTTCATGCCAGAAAAAATCTTGACACAATCAAGGACCAAGTTATTATACAAAAGCTTCTTGCATGTGTATGGAATTCAGATTATGATATAAAACCACTAAAAGGCTCTGTAATATAATAAATGAGGAATTACTATTTGGCCTCAAAAATATTACTCCACATTCAATGTTCCAGTAAGCATTTCTGGTTCTTTAGGACCATGAAAGAGTCTTCTGTCTGTTTTTAAAGTTTGGATTCTATGTCATGTTTATTCCAAATTTACTACAAAGAATTAAATAAATGTCTTGATAAGCTAATAAAGCTGGAGTCTAACTAGTTTGTCTTAGAAATAATTCTGATGTGTTGGGGATGGGGGACATGTTTGTTTATATATGTATGTATGTTTGTTTAAAATTATGTATTATTAGCTATTAAATAATTTTAAAGAAAGATAGTAATATAAAATAAGACAAAATAAAAGCAAAGCTAAAAGTGCAAAAAAAAAAAGGAAAAGGAAACAATCTTCTTTACAGCAGCTTGATTCTGTTTAGGACATAACTATTCTTTCTATAATCTATCCTGCCTAATCATCAAAACTATAAATAAGTTCATTGTTCTAACAAAATTCATGAGGGATTTCCATTCAGTAATAAACATAGATATTGTAGATATTGTTTTTTCTCTGATAAAAGAAGCCAATTTAGTCAGCAACTTTCATCATCGCCACCAATTATTCCTCCATTGTGGATAGTGTCAAAACTTTCCATTTTTATGTATAAATTATTTCACTGCAATTATCATATACAAAAACAAAGTCCTATGACTTTTTCCAGCTATTTGTCCCATCAGTCCTAAAGATAAACCTTTGACCTTAATTGTCTATTAATCATCTGAATCTGTGTGTAATTGAATCCAAATTTTTAGCTTCTTTACATGTTCCCCCCCCCATTTCCAGCATAAATTTGAAATACCTTTATACATTCTGGACCAGTTTTTGGTGATATATAGCAATAGTAAATCATTTTATTAAAAAAATCTTTGAAATTATAACATCACACCTTCCAGTTTGAAATGGGATCTTTATCTGCTTTAATCTTTCAAGATTTTGCAAGATTCCAATAGAAATTTCTCTAAGAACAATTACATCTATATTATCAATCTTCAATCTTGTATTAAAATGCTGCTGCAAAACTTTATCCCTTGTCTTCCTGACAAAGTACACCAAGGCATCTCTTGGAACGTTTAATATTCTGGCAAATCTTTTATTTATTTAGTATAATTTATCAGTTTTTCCTCTCTGTATTCTCCCCAACACAATCCAAAAGTTATAATGGCATGTGCAGCTAGAGAAGCAATGTGTGGGGGAGACTTCTGTTTTACTCTCCAAAATTTCTACATTGTCATTAGTTTTATATCTCCTTGTTTTACAGGACTTTCCATCTTCTATCTCTTTCAACTTTACAAGTCTTTTATCCATTGTTTTTGCAAAAGCAGACAATCTAGCACAAAGTGATTCAGCTATCTTGCTGCCCAGTTGCTTAAACATTTGCTTCCCTCTTTTTTTCTCTTTTGTCTTCCTGTGCCCTTAATAATTCATCCCAAATGGCACTCTATGCCTACAGTCAGTGTCATAGTTACTGGTAGTATCTCTAATTACAGTCAACATCAGATTCTGCCTCATGTTATCTTTTATTTTTCATTTTGTAAAATCCAATTGTCTGCACTCTTTAGAGAAAATATTTCCCTAAAGGTCCAGTTAGTTTGCCTGTTTTAATTCCAATGTGTTCAAAAGCACATGTTTATTCTGTTCTAAGGCACAAAATTGCTGAAATTACATAAATCATAGGAGTTTCCTTAAGGACCAGATAGTATCTGATAGATTTCTTTTTCTGGGAGCAGACAGGCCCATCTTTTGAGGGGAGAATTTGACTTCAGAAAGGGCAAAAAGGAGTCATGTCTAGAGAGGCTGCCAAATTCAAAGCCCTCTTATTCATGGAATGGAAAAGGGAATAAGAATTTGTCTCCAGTGCATAAACTCTCAGTGTAAATACGAAAACGAAGTAACATGATACCAATAAGAGAAGGTAATAGAAAAGATGAGAATGATAATAGTAATACAGCCATATTACATGCATAAATATCCTTACATAAGATAAGTGCTATGGTAATTAGGTACTTTGAATACTTTAAAAATTATGAATATAAATACTGTGATTCAGAATGCTAGGACTTATATCAGTTCATTGGCTGGCAAGGCTTAGTTTCCCAGTAGGATTGGTATGACAGAAACAAATTGCAGGGAAGGGAAGGGAAGAATTATGGTCTATCACTTCTGATAATGGAAGAAATGGCAGTTCTTCCTTGAATTCCCTTCCTCCTGCATCTGATAGCTCTGGAAGATCTTGAAGGTGCCAGTAGGTGACTTTGTAGCCTAGTGCAAGTATACAAAATACTGGAGCTAAGATGAGCTCAGCGTGTTCCGTTCAGAACTTGAATGATAGATAAATAAAGGACTTCAATCCAGTGCATTACTTTCATAATAAGTAATAAATACCCCTCAAAATCATAAAAATGTAGCACAGCATAACATTACAATAAAGAGAATAAGTAGTTCTGACTTTTCAGTAACTGGGTTAGCTAGAAAATCAGAACGGAAAAACATTGCAACTTTTTGTCACACCATCAGAAAACCTATAACTAGCCTTAAAACTGAGCAGTTGTGCAGCCAGCATTAAAACACACAGAATCCTATATTACTATTCCACATTGGAAATTTGTGAAGAAAATCATTGTGCCAATTTGGGGAAACAAAAGTCAGAATGACACTTGCACTGTGGCTAGAGCTGTTTGCAGATCTTTGGTGAGAGATTGAACAGAACTCTCTGTATCACAATCCAGCTTTCATTCCTTGGCGAGTCTCCCTTCATTTGAAATAATTAAGGTTATTCAACATCATCAATATTGAAGTAAGTTTCAGATGCAGTCAATGCCATCTTGGCCTTTGCCCAGGTAGCAAAATATCTTGAATTAGCCCTGCAGACCATTATTCTTAAACCGCTTGGGAACAGAAACTACAAAGAACTCATGAGGAATTATCCAGCTGGAACATCATGTAATTGCCATTATAGACACAGTTTCTATTCAGGAAAACTTAAAAAATTATCTTGCACAAAAATAGTTTAATATACTGTAGGTTATCATTTATCTGGAAAGCTAACTTTTGCCTTCTGGGTCACTTGGAAATATGCACCTTATAGAAGGTTTGAAATTTAGAATGTGCCTTGATGCCTTGAACAACTGGATGGAACCAACTAAAAATGCAGTCGGTAAAACCTCTCTGTGCCTGACCACATAGAATAAGTATTTCACCTTTGAGATGGTTCCCTGTAATCCTGCTATCTAGATTACTCCCTGCAATTTTCTTGGTGAGATTTTTTCAGAAGGGGTTTGCCATTGCCTCCTTCCTAAGGCCGAGAAGAAGTGACTGGCTCAGAGTCTAGAACAAGTGGTATCCTGCTTTCAAGCCGGATGCCTGAACCACTACATCAAACTGAGTCTTGTGACTAGCTCAAGGCCCTGAAATTAGGATTATGTCTCTAAATGAGTAACCACTCAAGACATCTCAAGGAATGGCTAAAATTCAGGCCAGTATCCTGGGGGCAATGGCAGAATGTGTGCCATGTTTTTTTTTTTTTTAATCTCTCTTCCTCCCTTGCCACCAGATCAGTGCTGTTTCATTGCATATCATAAAATTGGATACCTACCCAAAAGACAATAGTTCTATAATATAATAGCAGTATTTACACAACTGTAAAATCCTTGACTTGGCATGAATTGCTTATGAGGCTGGGTTAGATGTTTTAAACTAAAAATTAAACTAAAAATGCCCTTTTATATCTATTTGCTTTTCTTGGCAGCCAATGAAAGAACCAAACTGACAGAATGAAGCAAAGCTAGTTTTAATATAACTGTCGCCTGTCTGGGTTTTATGGAAGGTCTTTATAATTTTTATGTTCATTATGGTTTCATTGAATTTTATGAGTATGAACCTGGTACAGTTGTTTTCAGTTTTGCAATATATGGGAGAAAGGAAAGATGGTGGAAAGGGGTTAAAGGTCTTATACTGAGTTATAATTGGGATTGTCATAATTTCCCTTACTTTCTGTAAGTCTTATGTCCCAAGACTTAGGAACAAAGTCTTTGTAGTATGAAATTGTGCCCCACTACGCTGCAGTTCCACCGGCTGCAGGATCTGGAATTAATAAGAATACTGTATTGGTTGTTAGATAGAAATGAAGTCATGAAGATGTAAACATATTTTCCTATTGCCAATATCTGAAGTAAGCTCAGTGTAATGATGCATTGCTTACCTGCTCTTTTGTTACAGACCGCCCTCAGGCATTTAGCTGCTTTGGTCAACTCTGATTTTGAAAGCAGACATGCCTTTTTGCCAGGAAAAGACATGATGATGACATGCTTTGAATACATTTGTATATTATTTGCAGTCACAAAAACATCACAGACCAGAGAAGATATTGAGATGAAACTTTTCCTACAGATGTTCTCCCTTGTAGGGTTATTTACATGTCCCAGGTTTGATAAGTTTGTTTATATCCCACCATTATTATTTTTATAAACAACTCAAGGCAGCGAACCTATCCAATAAATCTTCCTCTTCCTATTTTCCCCACAGCAACAATCCTATGAGGTGAGTTGGGCTGAGAAAGAATGATGGACCCAAGGTCACCCAGCTGGCTTTCATGGTTAAGGTGGAACTAGAACTCAGCTCCAGCTTTCTAGCTTGATGTTTAAATCAAACTGGAGGTAATAATAATAATAATAATAATAATAATAATAATAATAATAATAATAATAATAATAATAATAATAATAATAAAAAACCTACCTAATAATGAAAAATCCAGCAAAAGAGGCAACACCAGGTAACTACAGGCCAATTACCTGCTTACCAACAACTTTCAAATTACTAACTGGTGTGGTAGCTGATGCAGTACAACAGCATCTAGTTGAAAACAATCTCTTTCCACCTGAGCAGAAAGGAAACCGCCCCAATAGCAGAGGAACAAAAGATCAACTCCTAATAGACAAAATGATCTTGGAAAACTGCAAGAGAAGGAAGACCAACCTGAATGTGGCATGGATTGACTACAAAAAGGCATTTGACTCTCTGCCACATGATTGGATAATAAAGTGCCTAGAAATAACAGGAGTCAGTAGAAACATCAGAAAATTTGTGCAAAGATCGATGGCACAATGGAAGACACAGTTGCAGATCAATGGTGAGAGGCTGGGAGAGGTTAATATCAAGAGAG